GTCCTTCACAGCATACACAGGCCAGACCCACCCAGGGACCACACCTGGGCACCAGTAAGTGCACATCAGCAGGACACCTCAAGGACTGGCCTCCTGCCATGTGTAGCCAGGTCCCGGGGACGCGGCCACTGGAAGTGCCAGCCGTCCCCGCACACTCCTACCCCAGCTAGGTCCCGGGGACGCGGCCACTAGAGGTGCCAGCCGTCCCCGCACACTCCTACCCCAGCTAGGTCCCGGGGATGCAGCCACTGGAAGTGCCAGCCGTCCCCGCACACTTCTGTCCTCTGGTCAGGCTGTGGGAGAATCCCCAAGTGGCCGAACTATGCACAGCAGGTGGTGGCAGCAGGGCCAGTGGTGGTGGCGTGTAAAGAGGCTGGGTCCTAGGGACAGACCCTCAGGGGCCCGTGGAGCGAGCAGGACATCCCAAGCTCAGCTGCACCTTCACCAGGGACCCCCGTGCCCAGCAGCCCACAGGCCAGCAGGAGCTCCCCACTCCTTGAGCACATTTCAGGTTCCCAGAAACGTCACCACCACAAGAAATAGGGAGGATCCAGCCTCAGCGCCACCTGCACCGCAGGCAGCCTCACCACCATGGCTCTGCGTGACACCATTCGTGACATTACACGGCTGCAGTCACACAAGGCAGCGTCTTCTGTGAACCTGCTTTTCCTTTGGTGCTGGGGGTTGAACCAGGGCACTTACCGTGGAGCCACATGCCAGCCCTGTTTATTTTGTACCTTGAGTCAGGGTGCCACTAAATTCCTTAGGGCCTCCCTAAGTGGCTGGGCTGGCTTGGAACTTGTGATCCTCCCGCCTCAGCCTCCTGAGCCACAAGGATCCCAGGCAAGGGCCACCGTGCCCAGGGAAGTCACATATCATAAAAGAACATCTAGAGGTGGCAGCAGGAGAAATGCCCAGAGAAGCTCCCAGGTCCACACCCAGGTGGACTTCCTGGGCCCTGCATTGGACACCTTGGCGCCCCTGCATTCACACTGTGGGTCCACCCAGCGCTGGGACTGCAGTGACCAGGGTCCCACCTCAAGGTCCACAGCAGTCAGGATCACGCCCCATCAGGCTCCTGGGGACAAGCAGGGCGAGAGGGACAACCTCCAGGCCCAGGTGACACCCGGATCGCAGCACCACAGACTCTGGGTGGGCACAGGGCGGGGGACTGCTTCCCAGCAGACAGCCACTTACGCCTCTATCGACCCCAGGAGCGGAGGGAACCCACCAGGGCAGTGTGACAGCCACTGTCGCTTCAGGGAAGAGGAGAAGGGGCTTCTGCCTCAGCCACCCCCACCAGGGCGAGGGACAGGAGGCGTGACCAGGCCTGAGCCTGCATCCCCAGGGCTCTCCGTCCTGGCCCAGCGCCTCCTGGGGCCTCGAGGAGCACTGGGCCTCCTGCCGGCAAGCTCACGTCACGCACACCGCATCACTCCCCACACATGCCGTGCCACGCCCCACGCACATGGCCCCAGAGCAGGCAGTGGTGGCCCTCGCCCAGCGAGGCAGGGTGGGCTGCCTGTGTCCCCTCGCCCAGAGCTGGGGCCCTCGGTGTCTTTCAGGGAGCTGTGGCCACAGGAGGCCAGTCTTAGAGCACTAAAGGAGCTGAAAGAGGGGTGTGGCCAAAGTCGAGCCCGGCTCTGGGCACAGTGACATCGGGCCGAGGTGTCCTTCCAGGCGGGCACCCCAGCAAACCAGCAGGCGCCAGGCGAAAGCAGGACAAGACCTTGGGAGGCCTTCATGGGACATTAGGTGACACAGAAACGGCAGGCAGGGCCTTTCTGGTCAAACGCTAGACCCAGCAGTCACAGCTGGGCGTGTCTCTGCTCCCCAAAGTTGGTGACCCCCGTAGATGGCCGGCTACTCCCCTGTCCCCACTTGTGTGGTCCTCAGCCCTAAAGGCCACCGAGCTCCCAAGTCGGCAGCACAGGCAGGCCGCATGCTCGATCTCTGGAGGGCACCGCATGGGGGCCATGCGGGGGGGCCACGCAGGGGGGCCACACGGGGGGCCACGCAGGGGGGCCACACGGGGGCCCCTCAGCCCTGGCCGACAGGGGGTGATGAGCCCCGGGGCCCGGTGCCCAAGGCCAAGCAGGCCTTCGCCCAGCTCAGCCTGCGGAGCCTCCTCGCGGCCGGCACCACCGGCTTTCCTGTCTCCACGCTCTCAGAAGCAGGCACAGCCTCGGTGACGGCCCTCAGAACTCAGGGCTGCAGAAGCCTCCTCGTGGCCGCCTCAGAGAAGGGTGGCAGTAAAACCTCAGCGGCCAGCCTGCCTATCGCCAGGCGGCCGGGGCCCCAGACCAGTGGTGGACGTGGAGCAGACGTCGGCTCCTGGCTTCCACTTACCTCGGCGTGCTCCGACCGGCTGACCCCAGGACGGCCTGCCCGGGCCAGGGGAACCTAGGCCGGCGATCCGCAGCGTCTCCGCAGTCGCACCTTGGGCTGTGCCGGCCGGAAGGCCTCCACTCTGGAAGAGAAAGGCCCGGTCACTGACAGCCCTCCCCAGGGATCGGCCTCCCCAGAGCTGAGCTCATGGGGCCCGCTCCACGAAAGCCCCTTCCCCAGCACGGGCTGCACTGTCCTTTAAGGGACACACAGTGGCCTGCATCCCTCCTGCCCTCAGCAGGACGTGAACACACATGACCGCCACACGGAGACCTCTGCAGCCAACGGTCCCCAGCATACAGCCACCCAGAGCCCAGGAAGGAAGGAGACTGGGGCCCTCTTGGACATACTGGTCCTCTTCGGCTCAACTGGCCCACACGTGCACACCCGTGTACTTGAGTGCAGACACAGAAACCCACGTGTGCCCCACCCTGCTGGGCCCTGGACGGCCCTCTCCAGCTGGTCTGCTCTGCAGGACAGTGGTTTCCACTGCCCTGCTTCTCAGCAGAGGCTCCTCCCACCTGAGGGGAGGTTCACAGAGATGACGGGTCCCTGCGTGGGACCTGGAGGAGGAGGCCGGGCAGAGACCAGGAGCACTGGAACACGGTCCGCCCTTAACTACACAGGCTGGGTCAGTCCTCCGAGGGGTGAGGCTGGAGACACTTCCCAGCACCCTTCTGTGCCTTAGGTCCCCAGGGACCCAGACAGGTCCTCTGCCTGTGAGGGCAGATGTGGGCACGCTGACAGCAGGCTCCCTCCCGCTCTGCGCTCGCACCACCACGTCGATGGCCGTATCACAGATGCCTCGCTGGCCCGGGGCCACAGTCTACGTCATTCTGTCCAGTACAGGGGCACCTGTCAAGAGTCCAGGGCTGCTGTCCTCGGGACCCCTTCCCATCTCACCCCCCTCGAGTACCCAGGAAGGCACGAGTGCACCTTGCAACAGGACGAAAACAACGGCGCCCTGGTGGCCCACAGATGCTCAGAGCCAGCCCAGAGCAGAGGAAGGGGGGAGGAACGAACCACCCCTGGTAGGGCAGAGCCACACGGCCGAGCTGGCCAGGTCTGGACCAGAGGCCTGGGCTGGAGAGAAAGTGAGCGCCCGCGGGCTGGGTGGCCAGCAGCCATGCGGCAGGCAGCGTGGCTCTGCACGTCGGCGCCCAGAGAAGCCGTGCTCCTGCTCCCACCTCCTGGTGCCCTCTTCAGGAAGCCACCAGGCCCAGAGGTCAAGCTAGCTGGGCAAGGCCACAGACCCCACCAGCAGTGCTGGCCAAGGCACTGAAGAAGTCTCAGGGGCCACGAGGAGAACCAAGGAACCCAGTCTCTGGCGGAACTGAGTCCCCAGACACACGGCCACCTCTAGACACAAGGTGATCCTGCTGAAGTCCCAGTCACCACCAGGAGTCAGTCCCTGACCTGCCACCTCGAGCATCACAAAGTGATGGTGTTTGATGTCAGTAAGTTTTGGGATGGGTCAGTAGGCAGCCAGTGCTGGCCAAGACAGAACGGTCACTTCAAACCCTGACAACACAGAATAGGGTACGCTTCAGACATAAGGACCCTGAGTGCACATGAGAGGTGACCAGACGGTAGGTCAGTAAGCCAGTGGGTAGGAGACAGCAAGACCACCCGCCCAGACTGGCGGGGCTGGAGGCAGGTGGCTGGGCCTCGGGGTTTGCATCTTGTCCTTGGTGGGTGGAGCTCTCTGCTCCCTGGCACCACCTCCTGGGCTGCTGTCCCCCTGACTCCTTCTGCCATGACGTTCTGCCTCACCGTGGGCCAGAGCCACCGAGTTGGCCGACCAGGGACTAGACCCCCGAAACCGTGAGCCGAAATGCACTGTCCCCCTCATAGGTTGCTGGTGTCGGTCTCCTGGTGACAGCGGCAAAAGCTGACAAAGCATACATTGAGAACTTCATTCCCAAACCCGTGGCTTCAGTAAGAGGAGCAGGTTCTACACACATGCTCACCTCGGCTTGGTCCAGAAGAAACAGGAGTTGATGGCCCACGTGTGGAAGGACCAGAGTCAGAAACAAGAGCTCCAGCCTGGACGGCTTCACCGAGACCTGGGCCTGACCCCCAGGACGCGCTGAGGCAGGTGGGAAGGCGTGGGCCGGGCGGCGGCAGAGCGCTCCAGCAAGGGTGCAGGCACGTGCAGGGAGAGCCGGAGTGCAGACCAGGCAGGGTGCACGCACACCCATCCATCAGGGCAGCCGCGGGGCCACGCGGGACAGTGCCACCACACCCTCAGGGTGCGTGCTCACTGGGAAACTGGGTGGGACGGGGACCATCCTGTGGAACACAGGGGAGACCCTGCCTAGCCGGGATGGACAGCAGCTGTCCGCCAGGGGCACGAATGTCACCGTGGGTGCCCAGTCTTCATGTTAGCCTGCTGATGTCCCCGTGGACGTGCAGCAAGACCATTCTCTTCTACACGTGGCCGTGTGGACTTTGGCCCTCGCAACAGCAACGTGCCAGGAAACAGCAGGCACCAGGAAGAGAGGCCACGCCTGCCGCGGCTGGTCCTCCGGGCAGCTCCGCAGGCCGACTGCACCACCACGCACCAGCGGGTCCACCAGCTGACCACCCACAGCAGTCGCAGCAGAAGAGAGAGGCCCAGGTGGGGAGCCAGAAAGGGCAGAGCAGGGAGGGGCTGGAAAGCCTCAGCGTGAGGCAGGGGCCAGGGCAGAGCCCTGCCCAGCCCTCGGGCCGGGCCACTCCTACAGAAGGGCAGCTAGGAGGAAGAGGCAGTCCAGCAGGAGAGGTTCCTGGTGCCCGTCCCTGTGTGCTCGGAGCTCCAGTTAGGAAACGGCGGGTACCGCACATCTCATGGCGTCGAACGCAGTCCTCTCGCTGTTCCCAAGCAGGTGAGACTCCAGTTAGAGAGCGTGAGCGGGAATCCAGGTCAGGAAACCTGGGGGCCTTCTAGGGACCTGGAGTGCCACACGAGACCTCTGGGCAGCAGCTGACCTGTCCCTGGTCCCCTGCATTGTGTTGGAGCAGAGGGATGGAAACGTGTCTTGGGTTGGTTCCACTGAGTAGATTAAACGAATGGTGCGTGCTCAGCCAACGAGTAGCACCCTCCCCTGGGACAGAGGACTGACTGCAGGACGGTCCGCACAGGGTCTCAGCACGGAGCCTCCCGGAGAGCGGCCCGTTTCCCTGCAGTGCGCCTCAGCAGAATTCCCCTGCACACCGCGGCTGTCTTTTGAAGACACGCCTTTGTTCATTTATTTTGGTCTGGGGAGGGAAGCCAGGCCTCGTGCACGCTAGGCAAGCCTAGACCACTGAGCTGCACCCGGCCTGGGCTCGTCCTTTAAAGCCCACTAGCCACATGACTGGGCACTGTTTATGACCTGAGAGAAGACACTCCCTGAGCTCCCAGCAACCGGAGTCTCCACGGAAGGCACCTGGTGCCGCGCTGGGTCACTGCGAGGCAGGGCCTTCACCTGCTGCGTCCTGCTGCGTCCTGACCCGAGGCCTGCTGGGCTGGCTGCACGGCCTCCAGCAGAAGCCACGGGGCAGCGGGGCAGCATGCAGTCCCTGAAGGGCTGGGCTCCCTCCACCACAAACCCCACCCAACAGCAGGTCCCGGGGCGCTGCACACGCTGTGGACCTGGCTACTGCAAAGGCAGGCAGGGCACAAAGCCAAGTCCACCTTGCCCCACCTGCCCAAGCCTGAGGACACGGGGACGGAAGCCCAGGGCTGAGGCCTGCCAAGAAGGGGCACAGCAGGCACCCCACCAGCCCCACCTGGTGTCCACCGAGCCTGGACTCTCAGGGAAGGCAGCCCTGACGGGGGGCAAGCAGGGAGGGCCCTGCACGTGGTCACTACAGCCCTCCCCTAGGTCACGGGTCATGGTCACATGGCTGGTACCCAGCAGTGCCCAACTGTACCTCCTTGAACAGCGGCACAGACGGCCAGCAGAGAAAAGCCATGTCCTCTCTGGAGAATCACAGAAGTCCCTGTCCAAGGAAAATGAGCAGCTCAGGCCAGGAGGATTGTCCCACGGGCCGTGAGGACAGGAGGATGAGCCAGTACCAACAGGACGTGTGAGAGACAGCAGGGCCAGCTGGCCACCCACCCGCACACAGAAGCAAAAGCTCGCAGAGACAGTCGCAGTGGGACCAGCAACTGGCATCTCCGTCTCAGGGGTCACTGCAGCTTTGGCTTCCTCCACACTTGGCCCTCTCAGGTTGCCTCCAGGACTCCACCCTACTGCGGTTTGCCACCTCCCAGGCCTTCTTCCTTTGAAATCTTGGTGGGCGCCTCCTTGACCCCCAACTCCAGCATCCTGCATTCCTGCAGAACCAGCCCCACATGGCTGACACCAAGTCGGCTGCCATCTCCAGCACTGGCCAGGCCTCCAGGACCCTGGCTGCAGAGCCTCTGAGGGCCTGGCTGAGCACACTGAAAAGCTTCCTAGGTCCCCTTGTGCAAGAATTGTGCCCCGCTGGTCTCTTCTCAAGATCATGTCACCTTTACTCCTTTAAGCCTGAGACAGGTGTGGTCTGGCCAGCTCCTGAGATGCCCTCAAGCCATCTTTCTTGCTGTTTCTGGGCAAAGCCTTTAGCATTTTAGTGGCCTAATGTCTTTAACAACTGCAGCTTCCTTGGGCCCAGTTTTACTCCTGAGACCAGCAAGCAGAGATTCAAGTGCACGTTTTTTAAATCTTTCTGCTCTGGTTTCTGCTCCTGATTATCACAATTAATTTGGCTAAAAGCTGCCAGCAATATCCATGCCACTGCCTGAATGCTATGCTGCCTAGAAATTTCCTCCACCAGATAAAGGAATCCGTTGTTTTTAAACCCAGCCTCACAGAAAGTCTCAAGAGACAAGCCAATCAACTTCTCAGCCAGAACAGAACACGAAGGGCCTCTAGTCCATTTACCAACAGTGTCCTCCTTTTCCTCTAAACCCTCTTGAGCCCTGTCTTCGCTGCCCACGGTCCTGTTAGCATTCTGGTCCTCTGAGCTCCCACCAGAATCAGCCAGTAGCTTAAACAATCTAAAGCATTTCCAGCTTGCACTGCTAAACATCTCAAATTCCTGCCACCAATTCCAAAAAGCTCCAAAAAAATTCTGGAGCCAAGGCTCAGAGCGCTTGCCTGGCAAGCATGAGGCACTGGGTTTGATCCCTGGCACCACATAACAATAAAAAATAAAATAAAGGTATTGTGTCCAGGGCTGGGGATGTGGCTCAAGCAGTAGCGCGCTCGCCTGGCATGCACGCGGCGCTGGGTTCGATCCTCAGCACCACATAAATAAAGATGTTGTGTCCACCGAAAACTAAAAAACAAATATTAAAAAGTTCTCTTTCTCTCTCTCTCTCTCTCTCTCAAAAAAAAAAAAAAAAAGAAAAAAAAAAGAAAGATATTGTGTCCATCTACAACTAAAAAAAAAAAATTTCTGATCCACGCGGTCGGCAACGACGCCCTCCTGGTACCAACGTCTGTCTTGGTCAGCTGTTTTGCTGCTGCACCTGAAAGACCTGAAAAAAATGGCTGCAGAGGGGGAGAGGTTGATTTAGGGCCTCGCGGTCTCAGAGGCCTCAATTAACAGACAGCAGGCTCCTTTCCCCGGGGCTCCAAGTGAGGCAGGGTAGCATGGCAGAAGAGTGAGCAGAGGGAAACAGCTCACCTGACGGCCAGAAGCAGACAGTCCACCTGCCCGATCCCGACATATAGGCCGTGGCCACGCCCCCAGTGCCCCCTCCTCAGCCACGGCCCTGCCTGCAGTCACCAGGTAACCCCAGGAGGAAGGAGTTCACTGACCAGGTTAGTGTTAGAGCCCAGTCGCTTCTCCTCCACGCCTTCCCGCCCTGTCTCACACGTGACTTCATCCAAACCACCACCAAGGACGAGGGGCCACAGAGCAGATCAAAGTGCCCCTGGAGGGCTCAGCACCAGGACCAGGGCAGTGGCGCAGGGGATGCCAGCGTGGAATCGCACACACGCACCCTCTCACCAACCACAACCAGTGGCCACCAGCTCCTGCCGCAAGCACCCCAAGGGCGTTCCAGAAGGCTTCTCTTAGGAAGAGACACCAGACAGACGTAGCCTCAATGACACCCTGTCGGCCTCATACAACAAACTGGAGGGTCTCCTCAGAAAGGGCCCTGCACCCATGGAAAACACCTAAAACCAGCAAAGGGAACGGAGGCTGGTAAAACGAACACAGATGTTTTCTAATAATGAAAACACGGGCCACGTGCAGCGCCTGTCCACATGCCTGGCCTTGGGCAGGCCGAGAAGAGGAGCAGCAGAGCTGGGGACACGTGGGGACATATCCTCAAAACAGAGCCAAGGGGGAGGCAGGAGCAGGTGCTGGCCTCCGTCCACGGAGGCGTGGGGCACCCTCCCTCTGCCGGCACGTGTGGTCCTGATGGAGGAGGGCTGAGATGGGCTCTGGGGGCCCAGGAGCACCACACAGCAGGTGCTCGCCTGGCCTTCCTCGCACGCCCTGGGGCATCTGTCCAGTGGAAGCAAGCATGGCCTTGCCCAGATGCTCAAAGGAGCCCATCACCTGCCCCTGCCCAGGGAGGGTGGTGCACTCTGCCCACAGCCTGCAGGTGACCCCAGCCAGCCTCTCGGGGGCTGACCTGCAACATGGCAACCAGGGGCTGGTGGGTGGGTGGCGGGTAGGGGAAGCCTGCTGGCAGGAGCACAGGAAGGACCTTCAGCTTCCTGTCTGCGCCTCGACACCCTGGGAAACAACAGGAAATACCTCCTGCGCTTGAAAGGAAGCCAATGGGCACCTAGGTTCCAGAACCTCCAGGGAACCCGTTTGGACCGATCCAAGAGCCCCCAGACACACACACCAGGACCTCGGGAGCAGACACTGGGAGGCTGAGAACCAGCGCCAGCGCATGGGCAGAGCGGCAGGACCCTAAAGACATGGGTGCCGTGAGCGTGTGCCCCTGACTAGCCAGGGTTCGTGACACTGGCTCCAGTGAGACCCGCACCGTGGGCAGTGTGCGAGCTGCCACCCTGACGCCAAGCCTGTGGAGGAGCGGAGTCTGACGAGGGGCG